GGCGACTACTTAATGGCAATGGAGAGTGGAACTGGGCTTCACTTGGAAGACAGGCCTGCGGGCAGATCAGCAGGCCTATTTATCAAGGCACCTACTTCTGGGTGGACTCAGACCTCCTACCTTTCAGTTAGCAGCCAAGCTCATGAAACCATTTGTACCAACAGAGTTTCTTCAGATCTAAGCAGTAGGAAGTCAATTCAGAGATGATGTTTGGAATTAAAGAGAGGAAGTAGAGGCAATGAAATATTGACCTCAAGGATATCAATTATGGGGCAGTTTTGATAACTGAGGTGAATGAAGGCTGTCGCTACACTAGTGGCTGTGGAAAAGGAAAGGAAAGATACATTCAAAAGATGCTGAGGCAATACCATACATTCAGTTGATCAGATGAGGGAAAAGTTGAGAATAACTGAGGAATCTAGTCTGCAACATCAGAGGATTTCAGGAGTAGGAAGAGATTTGGGGAGAGTGGTGAAGAGTTTGATCCCACTGGATTTGAGATGTTGGTGTGACAGGTACATAGAGAGGCAAGTTGAAAAGGTGGAAATGGTGTTAGAAGAAGGTCAGAAACAAGCAAGTTGGGTCAGGACTTGTCCATCTAGAGCTGTAGCTGGCACCCGCCCTAAGAGTGGGGCTTCTGAGAAAGAGATGAGGACAGAGCTTTACAGAGCTCCTAGGAAGTGAGAGGGTGAAGAGCAAACAGAAACAAGTAAGAAGGACAATTAGACTAGTCTACAGTCCTAAGTGTGGCGTTGTGGGTTAATGCGCCAGACTGCGTAGCTGTTTGAACTGCAAGGTCGGTGGTTTAAGTTCACCAGCCGCTCCTCAGAAACCCTATACAGGGTCGTTATGTGTCAAGATCAACTCGATGGTACTTAACAACAACAAGAACACAGTCCTAGGAACTCTGGTAGCATAGTGGTTACGAATTGGGCTGCTAACCTTAAGGTCAGCAGTTTGAAACTACCAGCTGTTCTGAGGGAAAAATAAGAGACTTTCTGCTCTCATAAAAATTATAACCTCAGAAACCCCGTACAGGGTCACTGTGAGTTGGGACCGACTCCACGGCACATAACCACCACAGTCCTAGATGAGAGTTTTAAGAGGGCCCTGAGTGATAAGCAGTGTGAAATGCTGAAGGAAAGCTGTCAATTCTGACATAGCGACACCACAGGACAAAGCCCCACAGGGCTTTCAAGGCTGTAATATTCATGGAAGCAGACTTCCACATCTTTCTCCTGCTGAGTGGCTGATAGGTTTGAATTGAAGACCTTTCCGTTAGTAGCCGAGTGTTTAATCACTGTGCCACCAGGGCGCCTAGGAAAATAAACAGCAATAATAAATACTGACACATTGCTATTTTTGTTAAGTGTCGTTGAGTCAGTTCCTACTCTTAGCCACACTATATAGGGTTTCTGAGGAGTGACTAGTGGGTTTGAACCATCAATTTTCAAACCCATCATAGTGGGTTTGAAGCATCAATTTTAAGTTTCCAACTAACCTTTTGTTCCAGAGCATTATCCTGCAGCACCACATGTATTAGATGCTTTCTATATGCCAGCTCCTGGTGTGGTACTGTGGGTTAACGCACCAGACTGCAAAGCCATTTGAACTGCAAGGTCAGCAGTTCAAGCTCACCAGTCACTCCTTGGAAACCCTATATAGGGTCGCTATGGGTCGGAACCAATTCAATGGCACTTAACAACAACAACAATATGCCAGCTCTGGTAGCGTAGTAGTTACGAGTTGGGATGCTAACCTCAAGGTCAGCAGTTCGAAACTACCAGACATTCCGTGGGAGACAGATGAGGCTTTCTGCTCCTGTGAAGATTTACAGCCTCAGAAACCCTATACAGGGTCGCTATGAGTTCACAGCACACCACAACAAAATGCCAGCCTCTGATCCAGGCACTTTGTTTATATTAACTTATTTAAGTCTTAGAAAAGACCCGGTAAGGTAGGTATTGCTACTGCTTCTGTTTTACAGACAGAGAAACTAGGAAAAGTCTCAGTTGGCCAAAATCACATGGCTAGTAACATCCAGCCTCTATTTTCTCTAGGGCCCAC